CAGTGGCAGTAATGACAGAGCATGCGCTGTTATGCAAAAACCGCGATAGAGTGAAGCCGCGGAAGTCGAAGCGCGAAGTGGCGAGGGTTCACTGTATTAAGAATTTGCCTTCCAAGGGTTTGTGGGTGTGTGTTCACTCGCATGCATGTGCGTGTGTATGAGAAATGTGTGTAAGTGCCCTTACACACAGTTCTCTGAGGGTGTTTATTCAGGATCATGCTAGGCTCCTCATGCGGGCTTCTCTTTAAAATGTAATGTAATCATGATCTTCAATCAGTGTCAGATAGAGGCTATATGGAAACAGTTAATCAGATGTTACAATTTGTTTCAAGCCTAGCAAAGAACAATGTCCTTCGTTTACTGTTGCCCTTGGCTTCTACTATCTCAGTAATGCTGCAGTGAGATGCTAGATTCAGATAACTGAATGCAGGTTTTAAAGCAGTTCATTCTGTGTAGATGGCAGCATTTTGCTTCCTCAGTTCTTTTGCTCTCTATAATACCCGGGCCCTGGTGGCACAGAGGGTTAGGCATTGGGCTGCTACCTGCCAGGCCAGGCATTCAAATTTAACAACTGTTCCACAGGAGAAAGATGAAGCCGCCTGCTCCCCTAAATATTTATGGTTTGGGAAACCCTGACATGAGTTGTTCTGCGTCTGTTTGATTGCAGTGGGTTTTCAGTACCCTGGTAACATATTTTAGGTCCAGTGTTTCAAATTTAGGCCAAACCAGTAGTGTCTGTTTCGTATGGTGATACAGCACCAGAGAAGGTGAGGTTGTTGGAAAGAAGCACCCCGCCCCTTGTTTTTCCCCTAAGGGAGTTAATGACCGAGACTGTGGGAGGCAAGCATCTGCAGCTTAGTTCTCATGGACCACTCAGACCCTCAGCTTGCCCATCGCTATACCGTGTCACCCAGGCCCAGGCTCCGTTTTTTTGGTCTTTTAAGAGACATTTTCTCTTAATTCTATCACGATAGAATGTATGCATCCCAGACAAGTTTTTGAGTACGTGCCACGTGGGAAACATGGCATCCTATGGTCTTTGTTGTTCAGCATGTGCGTTCCTTTTTAAGAAATTTGTAGGTATGTAACAAAACATTTCCCAATTCAAGAACTGTGACATATACTCCAGTGACATTGTGTTTAGCATGTTGTGCAGCCATCTAACAAAACTCCAAAAAAACAACAATAACCCAACAACAGAACCAGTTTACCATCAACTCAGCTCCTGTTTCCTGGTGAGCGCGTGTGTGAGTGGAATTGTGTACCGCGGAGCGCAGTCAGTACCACTGTCCTTTTCCACAGGATTCCAACGGCGCGTGGAACCTTTACTGCCCCAAGGTGTTGGTGTTGTCTGTGCCATGTTTAGTGGTCTTTCTAGAATTCTGTATTTGTGGACCTGGCCCCCCTATCATGTGCTCACACAAAAGTCCAAAGAAGATGCATGTAAAATACATATTGCAGATTTCTAGTTAGCAGGAAATGATGTGTCACATTTAGTAATTATACCCCAGTAAGTCCTAGCCCATAAAATAAAGATGCCTAAGTCAGTTAACGTGTGTGTGTGTGTGTGTGTGTGTGGTAGGCCATGTACTAATTGTGACTTTTGCCTCTCATGACAGCAGTTTGGTGCCACACCGAGTCCTGGTTGTGCAGCTTTGGAGCCTTATAAGGTGACATACAAACCCTATCAATCTTCGGCCCAGAATACTGGCTCACCAGGCCAGGAAGTAGCCGCAAGTGACTCCTTTGAAGGGCTGCAACAGCAGTTTTTAGGAGCTAATGAAGGTATATATCTCGATTTTCTTCTAAGCATAATCGGGAGTACTGAAGACTGAATGGCTATTTGAACGTATTCAAGAAGTATTCTATTTTAGAGATGATGGTCTTGTGGTTGGTGATTTTAAGAGCCCCCTTGTTCAGAGGTACCTGCTAAAGTGTTGGCTAATAAGCTTAAAGGAAGCCTCGGAATGACTTCAAAGGGATCCATTGTTGTGGGGCATGTGGCTGGGGGGCTGGGGGGCTGGGTGAGGGAAGGCTGGCCTGGAATCCATACTTTTCAAAGCTGGGTGATGTTTCCATGAAGATTCACCGGTATCTTCTCTCTTCTTTCATATACTTAATATTCTCCAAAATAAAAAGGGTTTGTGAGTTTCATAATATTCTTACGGCATTCTACTTTGGAAAATGTAGTTTCCTCTTCAATCGCAAGTGTCTTATTATATACCACGGCAATTTAGTAAGTCAGCTGCTAATGTCTTGATTAAAAAAGAATTATTTTTTGAGTTTTCATATAGTAATTAGGAAACTGACATAATTTACTTGTATTCAGAATTTACACAAGGCTTTGCTATCAAGCATAGTTGTGTGGCAGTTGTTCCCCCGCCCTCCAAAATAAATAATTTCGTATATATAGAAAGATGAGAATAAACAGGGGATGATTAGAGGAATTGGAGAGGATGACTTGCTAGTGTTAGAAAACAAAATTTTCAAACTCAGACCTGTGCTGCGACTAATCTGTAACCGCGATTTCCTATGCCCAATTTTTAACGATTGTACTCTCTGGATTATGAGATAGCGTCTGTCTATTGTGCTTGTTGCCGAGCCAGTGTGATTCCAGGCTGTGTATGGCAGCAAGATCTCTGCGCTCCTTTAAGAAAGGGGGAGAAGTCAGAGGGATGCCTGGGCTCCCTGGGCGAGGCCAAAGAGAAAGTGCTCATGCCCATAACTTGAAGGGGGGGGTTGCGTCCTTCCTGCGACCTGGCTGAGAGGCCCTGAACTGCCCCTCTCTTTCCCCCCTAGACCCAGACACACACCCGTCTGAGGGAACTGGAAGCAAATATGGGGGTGTCCTCTCTTTGTCGATAGGTTTTGTGGAATGAGGAAGTGGATAGTGTGTTTAGCATGTTGCCTTTGGGTTGAGTAAGTAAGTTGACAGCAGTGGTCTGACTACCTCTCCCACCAGGTGCCTTCGTGCCTTCTCAGCCACACCTTCCCTGTCTTTCTGCACGTACGACCTCCCGGTGCTTTTCTTAACAGCCTGCATTCTATCAGGTTGATTTATTTTTTCTTTAAGGAGCTTAAGCATTTGTCTACATCTGACATTTGGAAATTGGTTTAATAACTTCAATGTCAAATTGAGTCATCACAGCTTCTTAGCCGCGGTGGGTTAAAGAAAAGAAAGGGGGGGTTTGAGGGGGAGCACTCCCCAGGGCAGACCTATGAGTTAAAATGTCTGGAGGGAAGTTGGTTGACTTTAACAAATTTTTCAGTCGTCAGGTTTTTTTTTGTGTGTGTGTGTGAACCCTATTTTCTTTTAAAAAGGAGATTAGATTATTATGTTAGAAAGTAGTTAACATTCAGTTAATGCTTTCATTACTGACTCAAGAAGCATTGCTTTAGTGGAAAATGAGGACCATTTATCATTATATTGTTGAAGTGTTTGTTATTCTTCTATGGCGAATCAATTTTTATCATCCCCTTCCCTCCTGAGTCATTATAAAGTGGCCCTAAAATGGCTTTAATCATTTCTGAAAGAAGACTTTGGAAGTAATTATTCATTTATGCATTACTTGTTTCTTTAGCAGCTAAGCATTAGGAAATATGAATAAACATTGTGAGATGGGTGTCTACAAATGGTCTTTAAAATGGTTTCTAGAGCAGATGTACTTAAAAAAAGAACATATTATTTTATTCCATTGCAATTAGTATGTACTTACTTTTAATTGATTAAACATAGTGATTCAAAATTATACCCTAATGCGGTGACTTTCAAACTTGGTGATGCGGTACACAGCATGTGTCTATGTAAATAATGTTTACAACTATTCATTCTTGCTTTACCTGATATACGCTGATCTCTTCCATTCTACTCTTGACTTTTTAAAGAAAAACTAGTCACAATCTATGAAATTGACTGACTGCGGTATCTGCAGGGTGAAAAGCACAGCCCTCCGTGACCACACGCCATCCTTTGGTGTGCTTTTAATATTATTGTCTTTCAATAAAATTGCCTTTACTTCCAACACAGATTCTGCAGACAACATGCAGATTATACAACTTCAGGTTCTTAACAAAGCAAAAGAAAGACAGCTCGACAGTTTGGTCGAGAAGTTAAATGAAAGCGAACGTCAGATCAGATACTTGAATCACCAGCTTCTGCTCATCAAAGGTAAGCCAGCAAATGTTGGACGCTGACATTTTCGGAAGTCCCAGGGCTCGAGACCCTTGTCCAACCACCTCGTTTTGAAACATGAAGCTTCCGGAGCTGAAGGCTCGCACTCGGCTGGGGGCCTCCCTTAGTCACTTCTTTCCAGAACCTGCTATTTCTAGGCCCTCATCTTTTTTTCTATCCTCTTTTTTATTACAACCCCCCCCCCCCCTGTCTTGGAGACTATTAGACTCAAAGTACATTAGTTAACTAGACTGATGGAATTTTGTCCTAAAATGTTGATGCCTTCTGCAGTTTACTTTGGATAAATACTCCTGTTCCCACAGAGCCGTGTGTTTAGTTTGCAATGCAACATTTTCTGAGGCTACAAATGAGCACAGAGTTTTAACCCAAGTTAGAGCAAGTGACCCTGAACTTGTTTAATTGTGCCAAGGAGAACCTTGTGCCACATCTGGGGAGAAAAGTCCAGAGAGGAAGCACCGATTCACATCCTAATTGCTTACCCTTCATGCCTGCTGTACTTTTGTTTAGTGTTGAACTTTTCGTTTGTGAAATGCTTTTGTGACTGAGCGCCAGCTTATTTTAGACTTCATTGATCCTGAAAAGCCTCTCTTTCTAAACTGCTTATAAGACTTACTTTGAGAAAAGAACTAGGTAAATTGTCTGACTGTAGGGAGAATTTAAGGTCAGCGTAATTTAAATGGAGTCTATTGCAAATATGTATGCTTCTGTGAGCCAATTCAAATATGTGTGATGAGGGGCTACAAAAAGTTCCAGGAATCATTCCATTCATTTTAAGCCCCATTTTTCCATGAACTATTTGAAGCCCCCTCAGAGAAGGGGCAATTGTCTCTCATACTTCCTTTGATTGGTGGGTCTTTGCCACACCTATGTAGTTTCTCAAGTAAATAGATGCTGAAATCTGAATTAGGAAGTCTTTTGATCTAAAAAGAATATAAGATTTGTGAAGGACATGCTCTGGCTGATAGCATGAAAAAGATTTGTTGTTGTCACTTAGGTATTGTTTTGAATAATTTCTTTATTTGAATTCTTTTATTCTTTGGCTTTTTCTGAATCAACAAAAGCTTGTTTGCCAGTTGAAATTAATTCAGCATTTATCAATTAGCTAGATCAGGTTTCGGAATAAAGACACCCAGGTTACTCTGGGCCCCTGTAGAGTAAGGTGACCAGATTTTAACATTGGTAAAGCATTGGTAAAGCGGGACACCATTGATGGGGGTGGGGGTGGGGATGGGTTCCTCATTAAAAACTTGGCCTTCCCGTTCTCCCGCCATTCCCTAGCTTGTCGAGCATTCTTTCCAAAAATCGGGACTTTTTTAAAAGGCCGCGGGACGTGGGACAAATTGTTCAAAAGCGGGACGTCTGGTCACCTTACTCTAGAGTCTTCTGATCTTTGAATGAACATTTTTGGTGCCCTAGACGAGAAGGATGGGCTGACCCTCAGTCTCCGAGAATCACAGAAACTCTTTCAGAATGGGAAAGAGAGAGAGATACAGCTCGAAGCACAAATACAAGCACAAGAAACCCAGATCCAAGCATTGAAAGTCAGCGAAGAACAGGTAAGTCTTTTGATTGTTGATGATAATTATGTTGTAAAGTTTAGTTAGTGAACAAAACTCTGGCACGGTGGAACTAAACTCAGGAGGACCTAGAATCTGTGTCTGCTTCGACTGCCCTGCCCCTGGAGGAGTGGCGGTGCCAATTCCCGTATCATCAACACCAGAAATCTGGAGCGCCCTCCACCCCTCTCTTCGCCTCCATCCAGTTGGCCTTGAAATAGGAAGTGCTGTTGAGTGCCCTAGAAATGCCCCGCTACCCGCAACTGAGGCGTTTCCTATCTATCAGAACATCTGCACCAAGCTCTGTTCTGCAACTTCTACCTTACTGGAGTGGTTTCCCACACACCGTTCTGGTGGTATCCCTCCTTTGCCTAAAGCCTTTCGGTGACCCTGCCCTACCTGGAGACCCAAGCGTGGCCTGGAGACCCTCCTCTGATTCTTGCCCATCCCTCTTACTGTGGCTGCTGCTGCTGTTAGTGTGGCTCTCACAGCAAACAACCGAAGGAGGCACTGCCCAGCCCGGGGTCATCCCCAACTCCATCCATCAAAGGCAGCGGTCTGGGGATCTTGTGCCGACACTTGCCTGTGCTGACTTCTCTCTCTAGAAGGTTCTTTCCATGACACATGGCTACTCGACAAACAAGCGTTTTCTTGCCACGTTTTCCCCTGCGTTCCTCTCCAGTTCAGGTGATCCCATCCACTATCGTAGACCGAGGGCAAGCTTGGGCTGCCCTCACCTTGTCACCACACCACCTAGCCACAGCCCCTGGCATATAGTGTGTCAATAAATGTCAAGGGAATACTATTCAAGATGGACCTAGTCTCTATCCTTTAATACATGTGTCTATTTCTGCCCTGACCCCATCATGGCCATCGATCTATGGCAGTGGTTCTCCACCTTCCTCATGCCGCGACCCTTTACTATAATTCCTCATGTTCTGGTGACCCCCCAACCATGAAATTAGTTTCATTGCTATTTCAGAACTGTAGTTTTGCTACTGTTATGAATCAGGCGACCCCTGTGAAAGGGTCGTTCAACCCCCAAAGGGGTCGTGACCTACAGGTTGAGAACCACTGATCTATGGTATGTTTTCCTGTAGTAAAAATTTGTAAGTCTGTAATCCTCGTATGTTTCAAATTGCATTTAAAGAAATAGACTAGTATAAATGCAAAAATAAGATAGAGGCAACAGAATTACCAAGTAGGTGACTTTCCTATTGCTGCCTGGGAGAAGGATGGAGCTCTTAAGAGTTACAACTTCAATTCTACCTTACAAATCGTGTTATACCAGAATATGCACACTGCTATAGATAAAGAGTCTGAAACACAGGGAATCCAGGATAGATAAACCCCGCAGGGCCAACAATGAGACTAGAGATACCAGGAGGATAAGGGAAAGGTAGGGGGAGAAAGAGGGAATCCATCACAAGGATCAACATATAATCCCCGCCCAGGGGGATGAACAACAGAAAAGTGGGTGAAGGGCGACAGAGGACAATGTAAGATATGAAAATAATAATCCATAACTTATCAAGGGTTCATGAAGGAAGGTGGGCAAGGGGAGGGAGGGGGAAAAATGAGGACCTGATATCAAGGGCTCAAGTAGAAAGAAAATGCTTTGAAAATGATGATGGCAGCATATGTACAAATATGCTTGACACATGGTTGAATGTATGGATTGTGATAAGAGATGTAAGAGCCCCCAACAAAAGTATTTAATTTAAAAGCAAACAAGCAGAGTTATAGTCTCAGAAACAGTTCTAGCCTGCCCTCTAGGGTCCCTGAGTCAGCACCAACTCCATGGTAGTGTGTTTGGCGTGGTTGTAACAGAGTACTACAGATGTAGTGGCTTAAAGCAACACAAAGTAATTATCTTACAGTTCCGGAGGTCAGTGGTCCATCATCGGCCCCATGGGGCTAGAATCAAAGAGCCAGCAGGGCCGTGCTCTTACCTGGAGGCAGCAGGAAAGAGCGTGTTTCTTTGCCTTTTTCCAGCGCCTGGAGCTGCAAGCATTCCTTGGCTTGTGGCTGGCTTTCTTCGTCAGTGGCTCTTAAGTTTTGTTCCTTGAGTTTGCCCATCGAAAGACTCCTGTGATTACACTGGGCTGAGCTGGATAATCCAGGAGAATCTTATTTTAAGAAATCCTAATTCCATCTGCAACGCTCAGCCTCCCTTGCCATATTACATGCCACGTTGATAATTTCCAGGCAGTAAGATGTACACAGCTTTGCGAGAGGGTGCAGTATTCTGTCTACCACTCAAAGGTAGAGTTACTAGCTTTCAAAACTGTATGTTTACTAAGTAGCATTGGCAAGGTTTATCAGCCTTTCAAAAAACACCTGTCATATTTCTGTGACCTAACAATGGGCTGCCCCACGCTGTGCTCACCGGGCAATGCAGACCACACTGAGCCCAGTGCAAAAGCAGTGGATTCCTGATCGGATACCCACGCTGTCACCATGCGGAAAATCCCCCTTCCTTCTCGTCAGGTAACTACAAAAGTCATTCTTTCAATGAGTAATACTTCCAACCCCCCACAGCCCGGCGGGCCCCATCTAGGGAAGTCTTAAGGAGCTAGAACAACCATGGGGAGACTCCTTTTTTAATACCTTCATTTAGCATAGCGTTTTAGAGTTAAAGTTTTTTAGAGTTCAAGTTCATAGGCAGAAAAGTACATAAACCCCATATCCTGTGTGTGCGTTTACCAGGTGGTCAAGAAGTCCCGAACGACGGAGATGGCGCTGGAAGGCCTGAAGCAGCAGCTGCTGGACCTTCATCAATCGGAGTCCCTTCATCGAGCCAGAGAACAGCACGAGGGCATAGTTCGGGGTCTCACGAAGAAGTACGAAGAGCAGGTGCGGTCCTTACAGAAGAACTTGGACGCTACTGTCACCGCACTTCAGGAACAGGTTGGAGTGATTTTCAGATGACTAACTCTTAGCAACTAGTGAGGCTGGTTCACATTAGGGATGGGCATTGTGGTCCATCACATAGAAATCTTAGAAGTCTCTGGCTAGACCAGCGGAGGTACACTGGTACAGGAACTGAAAATACAGGGAATCCAGGATGGATGAGCCCTACAGGACCAGTGGTGTGAGTGGCAAAACAGGGAGGGTAAAGGGAGAATGGGTAGGAAAGAGGGAACCGATTGCATGGAACTGTGTGTGACCTCCTCCCTGGGGGACAGACAGCCAAAAAGTGGATGAAGGGAGACGTCGGACAGGGCAAGATATGACAAAATACCCATTTATAAACTATCAAGGGCTCATGCGGGAGGGGGGAGCGGGGAGGGAGGGGAAAAATGAGGACCTAATGTAGGGGGTTTAAATGGAGAGAAAATGTTTTGAGAAATGATGTACAAATGCGCTTTACACAATTGATGTGTGTATGGATTGGGATAACAGTTGTATGAGCCCCTAATAAAATGTTAAAAAAAAAACAAAAAACAAACAAACAAACAAACAAAAAGAAATCTTAGAAGTCTCACCGTAGGTGTTAGTTTGTGCATGAAACTTAAAAGTTAAAGAAAAAAAACCCATCTATGTATATGTTGTTAAGGCATAGTCATTTCCCAATGCTTTCTAGTAAGATTGGTCTGTATTTTCTCAGTGTATGAGTTACTAGGTTTTCTTTGAAATTTGGAGAGTATTTATACAGATTGTTTATAGTATATGAATGGTCATTTCCCTAGGTAAATCAGACTGAAAAATAAGAGTGCTTGAAGTGGACCTAACTCACCTGAGAGGTTGTCTTGGGCACATAACCAGTAGAGACACTTTTTGTCTCCCAGAATTAGGTCATTGGCTTGCCAGTAAAGACAATCCAGTAATAGTTTTTAGGAGAAAAGCTCTTTTTGAGAGTAGATAGTTAATCAGATAGGGTAGAAAGTCTGATCTAAAAATTCTTCAGACCTGAAGTTTCAGCATCTCTCACTGCTAGTTTTTAGTGTTTTTGTCCAAGAGGGAACAAAATCTCTTAAGCTATGGGTGAGTCACATGGTAGATGTGCTTATGCTCTGAAACCCCCGGTTTCATTCAAAATGCATTTTCCTTAGTGTCATTTCAGAATTAATTTTATCCCAGGAACGAGGAGAGGAAAATAAGATGTGGAGGGTGTGGAAAATCCCGATTTCAACTCGTATTTCCTATGTATACAGCCAGCTCTAATTTTTTCCGTTGAAGCATTTTAAGTTGAATGTTTAGTTAGAAGCCCATAAGATTGGACTATTGGCAATTTTGTATGGCTCAACCTAATAATAGAGGCAAATATATATATCATTAAAAACTCAGAGGAGTTTATATTACCTACGTTCGGAGATTTTAATTAATTGGAGGGATTGTGGCAGGTGTAGCCTTGAATCATGGATGATTCCCAAATGATTTGCGTGCCATTTTATAGGAGACCACATGCTTTCATTATTAGATGTATTTTCCGAGTTACAGTTTTATCCCAGTTAGGTAGGCAAATAGTGTGAATTTGGATCTATGTGGAGGATAATATATAGGGGTGGGAAAAAATGAAAGCCATGCCAAATTATTGAAAAGTCTACTTAAATGTAAGTGTAATTTGAGATACCATTTTATTGATCTTGGCTGTGTCTGTCCAGTAGCATTAATGTCAGTTGGACTTGGAGAGCGGACCTAGCTGGCTGGCTGGCTTTTTCTCTGCTGGGTCAATTTGAGGATCTCTCCATTGACTGCTGACTTGGATAAAATTACACAGGGAGTGGACTGGAGGGACTTCCATCTTTCCCCGCAGGCCTATCCCAACCTCCATTCTTCCCCTCCCTTCCATAGAAGAGCCATGGAATGGATGACAGAGCAAAATCTTGGCTCTGTTCTGACTGAGTTTCAGACTACCTTCAAGCTGTTGATTAAGTTCTTTTCCCACTTTTCTGTTCCGTGGCTGATTTTGTGTGATTGCTTGTGGAGCATAGGACCGAGGTTAGCCTCTGCTTGTATTAGAATTGCAGTTACTTTGCGCATGGCAGATTCCAAAATGCTCACACTTTGTTCTTTGGGGGAACGCTTCTCATGGTATATCTTTGGGGTTGTCAACTTGCTATCCATTGACTCAGCAATTGGCTTGGTTTTTTTAAATTAAGAAACAAGCTAAGTGACTTCTATTCCTATCGTCTCGGAATCGAAGCTGGGATTTGTGCGTGGCAAGCTGCTGTGAGAACGAGCAGGAGCTGGGAGGTCCCCGCTGCTGGGAAACTGCGCGGGGGTGTTCTCTACCGAGAGGGTTGACCTGGATTTTCTTACTTAACTGATAAGCCTGCGTCTATAAACACAGAAACCGCTTCGCTGTCCTTTCCTTTACAAAACTTACTGAAGAGGCTAACATGTTTCCCTTTCAGAGAAACCTTTTCCTGGTACACTCCATCCAACGGATGACAAAGAAAAGCAAAACAACTCGTGCAAAAGAGATATTGTTAAGTGCCGTCAAGTTGGTTCCAACTCGCAGTGCCCTTATGTGAGCACATCCCAATTTTAGAGTAGCAATGTCTGGTGAGCAGTAAGACACTTCAGGAATCATCAATTCAACCTTACTCAGGATCCCGACCAAAAAGGACGCAGACTGAGAAGTTGATGAGTTGCCCCCAGGCCACGTAATTTTGTTTTTCTGACTCCCCATCCTGTGCGCTTAACCCTGGAAAAGAGGCAACGCTGCTCTTTGACTGTGTCCTAGTTGACTTGGAATCAAATTATATTATCGTAATTTTAACATTGAGGAGCTGAGAGTGAAAATGACCTCACGGAACCCTTTTCTTTCCAGGAAGACACTTGTTCCCGTTTGCAAGACCACATAAAACAACTGGAAAGGACTCAAGAAGCAACCAAATTGGAAAAGACGGAGATCATTAACAGGTTGACGAGAAGTCTCGAGGAGAGTCAAAAGCAGTGTGCTGGCTTGTTGCATTCGGGTAGGTGCCTCGCTCGACACTGGCTCCCCAGTCATGTAACCTGTAGAGAGCACGCAGGGCTTCTCACTCCTGATGGATCCCAGAGGGACAGAAAAGATAGCTGGTTTCTTTCTTTTCTCCAAACATGAAAACTTGGAAATGATATTGCATTTTCACTCATACTTGGGAAGATAGACAAATGCAGTGGAAAAAGCAAAAGTAACTAGTAGTTGTACTACCCAGAGATGACTGAGGCCAGTGTTTGGGTGTCTTTCCTTCGAACGAAATGATTGCATCTACACAGGCAATTCCCTGTTTTTGTACCCAGCATGTTCCTGAAAACATATGCACTTAATTTGAAGGTGCAAAAGGAACAATAAGATAATATGTGTTATAAGGTGAGTTATATTCCCGAAAGCAGAAAGTGATTATAAAATTCCACTGTCCGAGGGGGCTTCAAAAATTGTGTGGGGAAAATGCCATGATCTTTTCTTTCCATTTCTCCGTGGACTTTTTGAAGCCCCTTCCTACTTTTTCAGACCCAATTTTTTATGATACCCGCTCATATCGTGTGTTACTTTTTTCCTCCTTTATGGTGCTCATCGAGCCATTTCCCTGGCTTCAGTCCATTGGGTTCAGTGGACGCCAGAGAGTTCCATTTTTGGCATGCTCAAGATTTCTAGTAGGTTCTCCCTGTTATTTTTTTCCCTCAACAGTTTATTGGCCAATAATTTACATAGCATACAATTGAACAGTTCAATCATTCAATCATATCAAGGGGAGTTGTACAATCACCACCACATCTATTCTAGAGCCTC